AAGCTGAAAGCCTTCTTAACAATATACTAAATTTTGATTGCAACAAAACTTTTCTAGAACATTATATGTTCTAGTTATAATATAATAAAGTATATAATAAAGTATATAAAAATAGTCCTTTTGAAATTTTAATTGCAAACTTTTTAAAATTATGACATGATAGAATAATTTGGAAATCAGTTTTGTATCCAAAAGGAAATAATTAGTTTTATTTTTGTGTTTTTCTTCTTTTCGTTAAACTAAATAATTGTTTGATGGCGTAAAAGATATTCTTTAATTATTGAACACTTTCGTGATATTATGAAGATCAGAACACAGAAAGATTAGAAAAATTATGCCTATAATTAAAAATAATAATTAATAAGAAACCTAAAATAAATAAATCCCATCACAATGCTCTCTATATCTCTTATGATAAAATTTACGTGCTTGCTTTTTTATTTTGCAGATTGTTCAATTTAGGTAACGCAGTTGAAGTGCGCGACTGAGGAGTTTCTTCTTCAAAAGTTTTAAAGTATAATAATTAATCATTAAGGATTTAGTTTTGGTCGAGCTGGTTTAAGTGCAAAATTTTTTAATGTGATTTAATAAAAATGTGATGATAATGATACGAAATAATCAATTTTAATTCTCAAAAAGAGAATTGAACAGATTTCTCTAAATCATTCCATGTGCATGCAACTTTATTATATCATCTGTATAATATTTATTCAATTTTAAAGATCAAAAGCAATACAATTGTTGAATTTTTTCGTTTAAACATTCAAAATTGTTAATTCTGAAACGCGGTTGTTGCAAAGAAGTTAATTAATTTATTTATTTTTTTCTTTGTTTAGTGCCGCCGGCGGTAGCTTTTGGCTGCGTTCCACTTGGCGCTTTTAAATGCTTTTAAACGCTCCAAACACTACGCTCCGATCAGTCTACTAATGTTACGAATGTTGCAATCGCTAGGTAAGTGGACCAAATTGTAACATTTGCAGCGCCACATAATAAGCTTGTATGACAACTTACTTGTACGATAAATTTTATATTTCATAACAGGCAGTAAAACTAAATTTTAATGGAAAATTCTAATTTTAATAAATGTTTTTGATATATTTTATAATATATCATATATCATACATATGTTGATGAGAAAGAAATTGAAATGTACTGAAATTACGAATCGAGCAAATCAATAAAAAGCCTAGAATTGAAAATTACGTAGAATGAACTGTCCCGTCACTTACTATGAATTCAAGGGTCATTTTAAGTAAAGTCGTAATTTTAATTTGTAATTCTTATTTCATGCGCGATAGCACAGAAGTAAAATCACTACTTTATTGGCAAGACTATTTTCAAGTTTCTAATAAAAATAATATGAATATTTATAAGAAATTTTTTTCACTACTTTATTTTTTTCAGAATGTATCCAACAACATTCGAATTTCTTTTAGGAGAGATTGCAGAGCGATTGAAAAGGATTACAGATGGTAATCAAATGTTTACATCAGAAAAACAACTTTTATTTACTTTTGACGTATGGCAATATCAGATTCCTACAGGATATAATTAAGGATAGATATTCAGATCAATTCTATCCAGATAAATTTGTATAATTGAGTAACCAGACGGAAAATTATCCAATTGTATTTTACGCACGTCCTTATTATAGAAATGTGATTAGTTAATTTTCTTTAGGCATGGTTATACAAATTTGTCTGAATAGAATAGAATTTGTCCTAATATTTTAAATCAATACATACTAGATTTGGAATAGGAAAAGCCACAGCTATAAAAACAGTACGATGAATTTATTATTCAAGAGCATTATGTAGACTTGCTCCAAGATTCATACAATGGCCAACAAGAAGAAAAATTGAAGAAATTAGGCAAGGTTTTTCTGAAATAGTAATCCCTTAGTAATCCTTTTTCAGGGATTATTGGTACAATCGATGACACATTTATTACTATATCGTTCCTAGAAAATCCTGAAGCTTATGTAAACAAAAAAGGCCATCATTCCATTCAAGTCCAAGATTTCATCATTTTTAATTCGAAGGCTCAGCTCTCTCGCAGCAGCCATTTTGAATTATGACGTCAAAAATGAGAAATGTAAAAAGTTTCTTGCGCCATTTTAGTTTTATTTTGTATTTTTTATTTAAAAATATAATATTTCATAAAATATAATATTTTCATATTCTTAAAACTTATAAAAAATACCATTCAAGTTAAACGACAAATAAACTTTTAATCTTGTCTCGGATCTCAGCCAAATATTTATGCTCTAAAGCTTTTTTTCTACTCTTAACCTATAGATACTTTAAAGTGCTTTTTCGCGCTGATGTTCTACGTTTATGTTTAGAGTCAAAATAAATCACGTGATCAAAAATGATCATTCAAATGTCACTATTCTGTATTAACTTTGATTACGTGATATATTTTGACGTTGAGTAAAATGAGTATCAGCAATAAAAAAAAACATTTATACATTGAATCTTTAGATTCTTATAAGTTTTCAGTTAAGAAATCTTCAAAAGTTGTGAGACTAATATTTCGTAAACATGCGGGGGCGAAGACAAGGTTTGAATCTGCTATCCATTATCGATCAGACACTCTAGGCATTGAGCCACGTATTGTCCTCTTCACATTTTTATGTTTCATCATTAAGTCATTAAAACAAATTATATTACAATTAACCAAATTAGGATGTTACACACATCAAATAGAAAGATGCACGGTGATTAGTGGACGTGTGATTAGTACAAGTTAAATTTTCCATGTGCTTTAATTTTCATGCTTATCAATTTATTACTTAACTTTTACTGCGTTTTTTTTTTATGTGTCACTAGCTTTACAATTCGAAACCATAATAAACTCCTACGATAATTGTGTGTGCGTGATCTCATGATAAAGTTGCAATCATCGGTATATACTGTGTTCTCTGATAACGTAAAACTGTTACCGCAGGATGGTGAACCATTCCACATTTGTTCTAGAAATAAACACCAATCGATAATAAGCGATCGCTTATTATCGATTGGTGTTTATAAAATTGTATATTTTTTAATTTTTCCATAAAAGCCTAAATAGAACACTTAGAATATAACATTTAATTATCTTGAAAATATACTTATTATGTTGATTTAAAATATTTAATTACAATTCTATCAGATTACAGTATTATAAAGATGTTAAAAGAAGAGAATAAAGAGTTCTCTAGTTTCTAGCTTGTTTAAAACAAAAACAATATTATATATAAATATAAATATAATAATTTAACGTTTAAGTATAATATTATATGTAATACACATTTATGTGTTAATAAATAATATATTTATAACATACCCTCCTAGATTTTTATTAAGAAATATGCATCAATCAAAATAAAAAGATAATAATCGCCTATTTTTGTAAAATGCAAATAGAGATTTAATCGAAATATGTGAGGTTTAGTAATGGCTAGTAGTGTCATTAGCGTAAAGGCTGTGTGAAGCGTGACATTACGAAGGAAAGTAGTAGTTCGAACATAATTTAGCTGTCAAAAACTATATTATAAGGCTAGATGAATCTCTAGATACTTTCTATCCATCCTATCTCGCAAACTCATCTCTCCCATCTCGTAAATTCCTTTCAAAATAATTATCTACATAATAAGGTAACACAAAATACAAAAATTACACATGCAAAGCAAATGAGCGGGAAAGCACAAACTACGATTCACTTACAAACTATATGCTGCGATATATTATTCAAAATATATATTCCGTCTCATTTTTTTTATTAAATACGCAAAGATTTTGCTTAAAAAATTGTGATTATCCACCGAAAAGATTTGTTCACTAAAATTATACGAGCTTTACTTGTGTAAGATAAAACAAACAACAGTTTAACATACTTATGATTTTGTCTTAAATATTTGTTTATATTTTCTATTGTTTAGCAATATATTTAAACGTTCGACGTATAAAAAAATATTAAATTAGTCTAAGCGGATTTAAAAAGTTTATTCTATCTCAGTATTGAATAAAAGCCTGATAAATCGAGAAAGTTCTGCATTGAAAAAGACTACGTGATACGGTTGCAATTTCTTTAAATTCGGTTGCTTTCAAGATGTCGACTCAGCAATCATATCGGCGATTTTCTAAGGCTCGAGATCTCGACTTGGCTCGAATTTTATCTCGTCAAACTGTCACCTTGCAGCAACTTGCATTCCAACAATTTGTGGTCAAGTATCATTTACTCGATAAATCACGTGCGATATTAAATTCAATATACATTAGTACTAATAGTTGAAATCTCTCTCAAGATTTGCAAATAATATGTATTTTTTCTAATTTATTTAATTCGTAATTTATTAGTTGCAATTACACCTATGATCATTATTTTACTTATGCAAATATAATTGTGTCACGCCCAATTTAATATCGTTCTCGTTCGTCATTCTCATCGTTTTTATTTACGACTTTAATTTGCTCTTTTATCTTCATATAAAATATAAAAAATATATATATATAATAATAATATAAAATATATTATATTATATTTTATATTATATTATATTACATTATATTTTATATTATTATATAAAATATAAAATATAATATTTAGAATGAATATATAATAATTATCCATTTTTCAATAAATCACTTTATTCTACTTTTCGTTAACATACATTACTCGTCAATGCACATAATTATTGTTTCAAGGTCGAAGCGTAGAATTCGAGATATTGGAAAATTTGATTGTCAAATAGGATTTTACGAACGCTTTGGAAAACTCGCGTCGCTCGCGAGCGAAAAAAATGAAATAAAGAGTACGTCATTAACGCGCGTACGCGTTCTCAATTATTTTACAAATGCTATGCAATCAAGCGGGCAGTAAGATGCGTCTGTTGGTGCACGTGGAGCTGGCTCTGCGAGTCCATCGTTTGATGAAGGAAATGAGCGGACGGGGCTTAAGGGGCCGGTCTGCGCAAGCACAGGTGCAAGTTCGAGGGTATAAAGAGGAGAAGCTCGAGCTCGCGGTGCGCACTTTGTGCTTCATCTGTCCGTCATACAGATCGCATCGGTCTCGATACACACACATACACACACATACACACACATACACGTACACTACCGTTTCCTCCCTTTCTCTTTCTCTCTCTCTCTCTCTCGTGACAACACTTATTTCCCGCTGCATTCGTAACTGCACTGTTATCGGCTGCACTCGTGCGTCGCTTCCTCGCATCTTCCACGGAACTTCTCTCTACAAGTTGGACTCTCCTCCTGCGCGGCAGCGTACAATTCGCAGGTGAGTCGCAGGTAGTTTGGTCTTTCCTAGCGTATCTTCGTCTTAATTCTTGTAGGAAACTTCGCGGTAACGTAAGTTAAGTACACTACATTGAAACTTCGGGTGAAACTACTTTACTTTATGATTTGCGTTATCGTGCTATCAGCTCGCTTTCTGGAAGCGAGAAAATTGTTCATTCGTGCTTTACATCGGCGGACGAAATTATGAATTTATTTCCGTCCAAAATATTAATTTCCATACTAATATTTTGTGTAAAATATAGAAATCCTAAATATTTATAGATAATTATTAATTTTGGACTTGGAAAGTAGGCGTAAAAATGTTTTGCGCAAGATTTTCTTGAATGGCCAGATCCGTCATGCGGAATAATTATCACACCTAATGGTCTCGCAGTGACATGGCGTGTCCACTGTAACATTGACAGAGATGTAAAAGCTTAATGCAGATTGAATGCTAATCGAGATTCATCAAAATTTAGTGCAATTGTCATTAATTGCCCGTTAATGTAAACGGGAGTGCGGATTCGTTCGATTGGGCCAAATAGATTTGCATAGGTTCGTATATATTCGTGTGGTCATTGTGAAACGTTGTTATATTTAACGAAAAATTATTTTTTGATAAGAAAAAAATAAATATTAAATTACCACTATCTGTATCAATTAGTATATTGTGTGCGTGTGTGTTTGTGAGAGAGAGAGAGAGAGAGAGAGAGAGAGAGAGAGAGAGAGAGAGAGAGAGAGAGAGAGAGAGAGAGAGAGAGAGAGAGAGAGAG